AGAATGCTTTGGGATGGTTTTGAAGCTAAATGAGCTAGGGTATTTATAGTTGAAGCTTAAGGATCAATCTTGTAAATACCCTAAAAGTACAATGACTAATTGCATAGTTTTACCATCCAAAATTTTCAACAATTTGGTGGCCAAATTTTACCAATTTTGCCGCCCCATTAATGCCACCAAATTGCCACCCATAATGTTGACTAATAATGCAATTTGGTGTGCCAATTTTCAACAGAAACCTCATACTATGTCAGTGAATAAAATGCCTTAAAAACAACAAGATTCACTTAAATAATATAGCGCTCGAAAAATCGATTATTCGATCCAACTAATCTCTTGATTGATCAATTATTCTGATAATAATCTGATTTAAATATTCTAATTCTTGTTCATTTCGTTTGCTTTATCAAGTTAATGGAAAACGTAATCCAATCCGACCCGAAGTCTAGAGGATTTAAATATCATATGGAACCACCAAAGCGGCTAACAACTTTTTCATTTAAAACATCATATATTTGTAAAAATACATCAATAACAATAATAAAATCCCTTTTATAAATTGGAGCTTCATGAAACAATTTAAAACAATCACTACAACTCAAAGTTTACAAAATATAATACATAAGTAAGGGTCCTATGAATACATATGCTCACTACAAGTAACCAACCAGTACTCCGTGAGGAATTCTGAGAATCCTAATGCGATAGTGCTCATCGAACGACTCCATATGTTAACTTATGAACGGAAACATCCGTACGTTGAGCTTATAAAGCCCAATAGTATAATCGCTAATCTAGAGTAGCATATGAACCTCATAAACATAAACATGTTAAAAGACATGATAATAAGTAGTAGGTACATGCATGATCCTAATCAAGTGCTACCTACTTAAGGTTCAACAATTCTACCTCTTTAGTGTAAGTCGCACGCTTCCCTTAGTCTCTTCTAAAGGCCTCGCCATGAGTAAACGTATACTAGGTCTCTAACCTCTGTATTATCCTACAATGCATCATCATGCAACACATAATGACATTATCCGATATCACAAAGACACCAAGTACAACCACACAAAAACAAGTAAGCATCATGATATAGTTCGGGATCACTTTAGCATCACATGACTCACACCCTTATTTGCTTACTAGAGGTACCTTGGGTAATATTTGGGTCACATAGCATCAACATCTCACAAGTACCCTAGGCGTGGTTTGGATCACACATCAACACCTCGCAATAATCTTAGGCTAGGTCCGGTTAATATAGCGTCAGCACCTTTCCAAGCTAACATACTCCGCTAGAGTACTCAGAATGTGTCTGGGTCACACAACATCAATACAACGTTAAACTAGCATCTGAAGTGCCCTTGCACTTATTTGGATGTATCAAGATATTTTGCATACACAAGACGATCGTCAAACTATTAAAGTAACCCGGGTGTCATTGTTGTTCCCCGAGCGTTATAAAAAGGCTAGTCTTATGGAATATTACCTTATAAGGTTCTTATGATTATGACACATATATCATTATTGTATCATCTTTATTACCAAGTTGTTCTAAAGAGATAATGTCTGAACATGCACACATCAACCAATACCACACAAGGGTAATCAAACTAGTTCAACTATTCATTATCGAACTTATCGAAGTTAGGAGAGGCCATTCCCCTCACTCACTACTATCTCACTCGTTTTCTCATCTAGAATGTTATGCAAAGGTTTATTAGTCTTTTAGTATTTCATGCCCTTAAGGCGGTTAATACTCATTTCTACGTACTTGGTATATTATTCCTAGCCCAATACCCAACTTGGGTTGGATAATTAATATCGACTCTCTAGTCGCTCTCACCATACTTCTCATCGGTTAACCCTTGAACTGGTTGGTAACTAGCTCGTTTTTTATTAAAGGTGTTCATGTAGTACTCACTTTCCATTATCACTCAAGTCACTTTGTTCATCCTCTCACTCGCTAGCACATCTTTCATAACGATCCTTCATTCACGATTACTCTATATGTGTTTGATTGAAGAAACTCAGAAATATTATGCTTGGTATGATTACTCTGATCGTAACCCACTTCTATGAGTGTTTTTAGTCTCATTTGGCCATTTACGTCCTTCACGGACTAAGTTCTACCATTTCAAATCATCTTTGATTCTTACGGGCCTTAACAAGGTCAAATATAATCATCAAAGGTAACTAGTATCGATACTCTACTTGTAGTATGGATACCCTAGGGTCAAGTATCGATACTCCTATGAGTATTGGTACAAAAACTGGCTTCTGTTGCTGAAAATTTGGCCCAATATCGATATTCAAAAATCCCTTTTTTATAATTCATTGGACTCAATTCCAATTTAATTAAGCCCAGACTTGACCCAACGACTTCAATTCCTAACTTCATGAGTCCACGTGTCTATCGGAAAAATCTTAAACTATTAACCTGGAATTTGGGGTGTTATAGTTAAATATCGCGGGGTAAAATAATTAGAAATGCTAATGTGAATTATGGAGATTTCAAAAATTTTTAGCTGAAATTAACTTGATATCAATATATATATATATATATATATATATATATATATATATATATATATATATATATATATATTACAATCTTGAATCTAGAATGTGTTTGAATAAAAAATTGATTATAAAATGGTTGATAATTTTGTCTTCTTTTATAAAGAAATCGTTTTAAATACATTTATTTAAAAAATCCAATATTTTAAAGGGCTTATTACCTAAAAAAGTCGAATTTATAGGGCTCATTTTTTTAGTGTATTTCTCCTAAAATCTTTCCCATGTTTAGCTATCCGTCTATCTAAATGTGTACCTAAAAAATAAGGCTTTTCCTTGATCATTAAATCTTTTCCTAAAATCCGATTTATGTAATTCTCTTTTCTTATTCGCTATCCGTCTATCTAAGATTATTCAGGACTCTCAAATCGAAAGATCTTCTGTTTCAATGACTAGCTTTAATGAACTGTGGGAAATTAGGTCCAAAATCTAACATAGTTCATCTAACTCGTCATTTTTCCTTCATGTATTAACACATCGGTGTAAGAGTACATGTATATGATTCTCAAATAAACAACTTGTATCGAATATCCATATCCATATCCGACACTTGTCTCGAATCCAAGCAGCATGAGCAACTGAATCAAGAAACAACCATACCAAAAATGCCAGATTCGAAAATCTTATCAATTTTCTTTATCAATTCTCAAGCCCTTACATTCAACGATTTGATGCGAATGGGCATAATTTTGCACAACAAAGTTTAGTTAAAATCTTCACAATGTCAGGAAAGATATATATGATTGAAAGTTTCAAAAACTAAAACAAAATAATCAATAGCTCAAAATGATACAAAATCCTGAGGTACACTATTCTTTCATTTTGCTCGTATTGTACACTGAAACTTCTATATTTTCATGAAAAATAGTATTGCCAACATACAGCAGTGCAGCTACGAGTATGACCTTGAGTACTAATTTAGAGCTAACAAGGGATGATGAACCTGGGGGCAAATGACCCGAACGCCTACCTTTAAGCTTGGCTGACAACTTTGATAACAGCAGAGGTAACCGGCCGGTTTTCTTGGCAGCTGCAAACCAAGAAATAAAAGGCAAACATCAGAAAGAGGAAGATGAGAATCTATTTAATCATTGAAGTAACTTGATTCTTGAATAAATATCTCATTTTAATCAAGACCACGGAAGTTGGATAAATTATATATTTAGCTACCCAAACATTAAGTCCTTAAAATATTAATAAATTATTTAATCAGTCATCTAACTTCTAAGACGCTTTTGATTGTAAGATTTTTTTTTTTGAATTTTTTTTTTTGAATTTTACATAAGTTCCACTCCACTTATAATCATTATAGAATAATTTATTTAAAATAGATATAATGTTCATTCACGTCATTAGTATAACAAAATCTAAATATGTATTAAATGTCAGATAAATATTGAAATAAAAGGATTTCTCCTTACAGATGTTTTTATACGGGATGTCTAAAGTACGATAGTCTTAATATACAGTTAAAAAAGATGTTATTGGAAATGTTAATATTTTTTAACATTTTCGGTAAAACATTGCCTAAAACAATTTTTACCGGAAATATTAATATTGGACCCTACCTAAAATGTTTAACATTTCCGGTAAAACGTTACCCAAAACATTTTTTTTACCGAAAATATTAATATTGGACGTTACCTAAAATATTATTTTTCCACTGAAAATTAGATAGTGAAATCAACATTTCCAATAAAAATAATAATATTTTAGGTAGCTCTTTACAGGAAATGTTAAAAAAATATTAACATTTTCGGAAAGATCTTTACTTAACCGTATATTAAGGATATCTTTTAACAAAACTACTTATTTCTACACTAAGAATGCATAAAATTATAGTCCGATAAAATAATATATAAATATTTAAAAATTATTTTATAAAACTGATATCTAAATTTGTTTTTTTTTAAGATTATCGAACCTCTCATTCCTTACGATATCCTATAAGTCCTGTAAATTTCATTTACAAGAATTAATATACTTGATTCCGTACAGCTTAATTATATAAAAAAGGTTAATAAAAACAAATAATTATATAAAAAAAGATAGACTACACATTTAATACCTACACTATCAATTTTGATCTATTTTAGTACCTAAGCTTTTAAATTTTCAAAATCATACATAAAATTTAATTTTTGTTTCATTTTAGAATATGTTTAAAACTTAACATTAAATTTTTTTTAAAAAATGAAAATTTAAGTACTAAAACAGACCAAAACTTGATAGTTGAAGTACTAAACGTGTTTAATTATTAACAGCGCAATACTAAAATAAAACAAAAACTAAACATTATATATGATTTTAAAAAATTAAAAATTTAGATACTAAAACAGACAAAAAATGATAGTATAGGTACTAAATATATAGTTTACCCGAAAAAATGGGATATATTCGAACATCAAACTTACCGGATGACATCTCTTAAAGCTAACTGAAATTATATGAACCAACTTGGATTAAAACATTCAAAATCAATCGACTTTTTTTTGGTTTTATCTAAGAAGGTATACATCACTAAATGATATGTAAAATGGAATGAATGTTCAAAAACAAAAGTTCGACACTTGTAATCCTTTGCACAAGGAATCACGCCGGCAACTGGAGCTTTTTGTTATTCTTCCAGCTGCAGCCATCATAACGCATACAAATATATAAATGAGACACATTCAGCTAGATAAAAACCACCATACATTTTTGTATCAAATATTTAAGATTTTTCACCTGTCAAAGTAGTAGTAGAAAAAGTCTGCATAAAGGAGTGTCTGCACAATCCCGGAAATCCAAGCTGGAAGAGCCATAAAAGAATCAATTAAAAAGAAATGATCGTAAGCACAAAAGAAAGCCAAATAATGTAGGCAGAAGACCACGTATGTCACACCACACACTCTAGTGGGAGTATGTAAGATGCTTCAATCTCTCGTTAGAAAAGAAGAAAAGGTTTGTAAACCCAACAAGCCAGTTTTGCAGGGAGATCCGGAGAGAGTAATAGGCTCGTGACAAGTGGTATCCAACCCTTGACTACCTGACCCCATGCCATGTGCCCCAACAGCGGATAGGCAGGGTAGACCAGGCAAACAGCCATGACAAGCCACACAGCACCTTATGGGGGGTAGGCAGGGTGAGCTAGCTTGTTATAAGGGCTTCACAAGACTAGGTGGGGGTAAATGTCGAGCCAAGTGTTCCAAGGTAAGTAAGGCACTTCCATCTCACATTGGAAAAGGGAGAGGTCTTTGGGCATATACCCAATAAGCCAATTTTGTGGGTAAGAAGTAATCATCATATGCTCAAAAGAGTTAAATGTTCTAGAATTAGCTTCATGCGATAAAATTGGTCATCAACTTTATCCATTCATAAACCCAACGAATAACTTAAGAGCTGCAAAAAAAAAAAAATCTACAAGCCAGAAGATTCTTTCTAAAAGCCATTACACCACCCTCTTCAGAATTTTAAAGCTACCAGTATTAATGAAATAAGCTCTGTCTATGAGGATGTTAAAGAGTTTTGTCAAGGTGACTCCACAATCACATGTCTGTCTAGCTGTACAAGGCAGGGAGAAAAACACTAACTCCAGAACCAACTGAAGCAATCAATAACTATGCAACCTAATTGCCTTTTGAATTACTTTTATAGTTACTTTTGAACTACTGGAGGTCCTAGAAATCCCAACAATAAAAATAAAACTTGAAAAGTAGCTTCAATATCAAGCTTAAATAGATTAGAACTCATATATCTGGCTATGCTTCAACTGGATGTGAAGGTACAGGCTCTAAAACATCTACAAAGAGATGAAAAAGCTTAAGGGGAGAAAAAGGAAAGAGAACAAAGACACTCTTTGCATCCTTTACAATGCAAAAGCTTAAAAGTTGGATCATAAACTACTTTGTAAGTGTGACAAATGTAGAACATTCAAAGAATAAAAGCTCAGAAAGACACAAATAAAGAGAGAAAGACTTACGTATCCAGTGGACATAGTGTGGTTCAGTGAAGTACCGATAAACCCAATTAAGAATGTATAGTCCTCGATATGCACTGCAATATAAGAGAAAGACAGATAAGCAAATCTGTCCATCACACACTAATCCTGTACACCTGATCGATCTGCTTTACAGAAGGAAAACTTGGTCCTTTACACATCTAGGAAGACATCATCAAGTAAATATTTTAAACAAATAACTCATTTTTTAATTCAAAACTACATATTATGGTCAAAGAGCATTTTTTTCCCCAGCAACCATACTGCATATAATACTTCCAGTGTATTTTGAAATCATATGCAGACAACAGCCTAAATTTTATATTTTTAGTTTGCAAAAAGTACTTTTATTTAGCTAGAAAACCGCCTAAAATATAAGGTTTATATTTGGATTCATATGCCTATTATTCTTTTCCCTTTTGGTCCTAACACAAAACGGAAATCTAAACATAAAGAAGAGCAACATTATCATATTATCGCTTGAAACTTCAAACATAAACCTTCACAAGGTTGGGAAATTTAGAACTCACAAAAATAACAAACTTCATCAAGTCCTAAAAAAATGGCATCTCAAATGAAACACAAAGGAAAGCCCAAAGTTTTGATACGGAGACTGTAAACTGAAAAGTCTCTGGTTCAAACTACAGATTGTTAACTGAAAAGTGATTAGGTTTAATAAGTCATTAAAAGTTAAAGCATAAGGCATAACCAATTCAAACAACAACTACACCGACCTAAAATGAGGCAAACAAAGCAAAAGATCTAAGATATAGTCAACAAATTAAATATAAATCAGTTTAAGAACGTTAGATTAAAATATACCCAAGAAGAAACACATATTGGCCAGTCAAATTGTCAATGTTTCTAGTCCTTTGCAGGAGTACAAGCTGAGGAAGTATGGCGACAGCTTCTAGATACAACGAAAAGGTCCATATTACCTGGAAACCCATTTTCCATAAGCAAATAATAAAAAAGAAGCATTTTTTTAATAAAAAGTACAAATAAATAAGAAGCGGAGACCTCTTTGAAGGTGAATTTCTCATGAACGAGAAGGGCCAAGAGCAAGCAAGGCAACAGCAGAAAATAATGGCGGAAAGTGTCTTGGGATTTATCGTAAGACCTTCGAACAACGCTGTGGCTACGGATGTACCAGACAATCGAAAAGGAGCTTCCCAAAAATATCAGCTTCATCAAAGTGTTGTAAAGGGAGATAAAATCAGTAAAAATGTCCAGGTAACGGCTAGCGAAAACGATGGCGTAAAGTTCTTGCGTCTTCAAAGAGATACCTGATCCAGTTCAGAAGAAACAAAAATTGAAACCCGAAACCTAAGAATCCAATACAAGGAGAAAAAGAGAAATGGTTACCGGCGCAAGATTTGATGGTGTGGATCTTGAGGAGCAAGACGAGAACGCTGGCCAGGTGAGTCATATCACCTGCTAATCTGAATAAATTCATTTTCGCTACTTCAGATCCAAAACCCTAAATTACTTTGAACTCATAAATAAAAAGGAATGCGGAAATGTTTTCAACGGCCTCTTTTTCAGAGTGGTTTGTGCTTTAGATCTTGTAGTTCCCAAGTTTGGCCTTTTTATGTTGTTGTTTTTCTTCGGTTTATTTTTTTTAAAAGAAAATGGAACATCTTAACGGTGGAAACTGCACAAATCGCTGCCCATAAAATATAATGAGCATAGACTCTCCGTTTACTTTTAGGACGTGTTTGGTCGGAGAATGTTATATTTTGATGAGAATGAAATTTATATTTTTTTTGTTTGGTTAGTTGGAGATGTCATTTTTGATAATCTTACATTATTAATAATAGATTTTTAGGATATATTACTGGAAATATCATTACCTTCATTTCTTCAAGTATTGTTAAATTACTGATGTTTTGGACTAAAATACCTTTAATTTTTTTTTTAAATATTATTATTCTGTTATTGAATAATAAAAATTCTACGATGGTAAATTACAAATTTATCCTTAAACTATTTTAGATTTACAAAAAAAATCTATAAAAATTTTATATGAAGTTCAAGAGTTAAAATAAAATTTTATCCTTTCATTATACCTTTTTATATTTTCAATTTTGTAAAAAAAATTATATACATTTTATGAATTTAAATTTTTTAAAGAAAATATATAAATATTTTTTAAATTTTTAAAAAACAAATATATAATAAGGATAATTTGGTCAAATATACATTTTAATAATCTTTTATTCCTTTAACCAAACACGGTAATCTTACATTCCTGTTAAATCAAACAAACACAAAATACAACATTCCCAGTAATTCTATTCTCTGGTAATCTTTTATTCTCACTGATAATCTTACATTCCGTAAACCAAACGCACACTTAATGAATTATTGGATTTATTATTGAGTAACGATTTCCAATAAAATGACAGCCTTCCATGTTATTGTTTCTCTTGGGCTAGGTTTTCTTTATGGGCTTTGATCAATTGCAGAGCTTATACTTTCGGCCTTTGAACAAATATTGGACTTTGTCTTGTCTGATATTTCGGACTTTTTTTTAGAACTTTTGTGTCCCCTTTCTTCCTCTAATAAAAATTGCTATCATCTGTGTGTACAGACAACGATGCTGAATACAACTTAAATGCATCAAGTTATTGTAAAAATTTGTTAAAGAATCATTAAAATATGGCTATAGGCACATATTAACTCGGTTAAACTAAAGGATAAAATTATCAAAAATTGTATAAAAAATAACATGAATTAAAATAAAATTTAAAAATATATTAAACTACATCATTATTTATTATACTATTTTTGATAAATCTTCTATTAATATTATTTTTATATTTTAAAAATCAATTATTATTTTTTAATGACGGTGATATTTTATTTTTTATTTTATTCAACTAATTAAATAGTAACATGTGTCATATTTTATTAAGCAAATAAAATCAAAGGATAATAATGTTGGTGGTGGAAAGAGGTTTTGAATGTTTGAAATCTTGTAAAAAGAAAGTGCATAGCAATTGCCGATTAGATTAAGAGTCAGTTTGGTATTATTTTTGAAAAATGACTTTTAAAAATTTGTTATTTTTTTTAAAATGATGATTAAAAATGTATTTTAAAATTTGGTTGTTTGTAATTGTTGTTAAAAAGTAAGTTTGAACAGATAAAATGTTTATTATAGACATTATATAGTAAATTAAAAATATATAATTTAAATTATATTTACACTTCATACCATGATATATAAAATATATAACTTAAACTATAATAAAAATATAAAAAATATTTTAAAATAACTCATTAATAATATTTTATAAATGAAATATTTTATTAAGAAAGAATATATTATCAATACTTTTTAACATCTGGATATAAAATATTTTATTATATAAATTAGGAATTTTATTTATTTTTAAATAATTAAAATAAATTATTAAATACTAAATTATTTTTTAAGGATATTAATAATAACTTATTAAAATAAAATATAAATACATAATTGAATTGAGCTCATGCATAAATTATAATTTTCTCCCAAACGCAAAATTAAAAATGAAAAAACTACAAATTCTATTTTTTTTGTGGTTGGTTTGAAACTATTGTTTTTAATGTAATTTAAAAAAAAATTATCGTCTGACATTGATTGTACTGTCAAAACGGACTTTTAAGCTACAAGTATTTCACGTCAAACGGAAGTTAAGTTAATTGTTGAGGTAAAATGAATTAAATTGTTAGCAAAATGAATTAAACTTAATACCCTAATACTTAATTATCGAGGTAATTATTAAAATTCTGTCAAAATTAATATCTAAATTGAACTAGTGTAGATTAAATTAATATCGTTGATTTTATATAAAAAAATAATTGGTGAATAAAGTTGAATATTGTTACTTACCTTAAAAAATGGTTAAACCCAATAACAAAAAGGTTTATTGCATAAACTAAAAAATAAAAGTAAAATAATAAAATGATAAGACGGAGAAAAGCAAGAGACGACATTTATTTTTGTTTTAAGCAGCGAAAACAAAAATAGCACATAAAGGCCAAAATAGCGATGGTGCTGGTGCTTCTACTGCTTTATAATATTATATGTAGACGCATTTGTGTAGTGGTAGTGGATTTCTGTGCAACGGCTACTTTTGATTGTGTTGTTGAAGAATCGAGGACTGAGAGACTAAGATTAAGAAAAGGGGACATTTGGTTCAGTTCTGAGGAGAAGAAGAAGAAGAAGAAGAAATGGATTACAACAACGATGAGAAATTTCTCTTATATGGCACTGGCTTTTAAAATGCATGTTTTTTATGTTGTTTCTGCCTTTTTTTTAATTTAATTTTTATGACCAACTTATTTGGGTGATAAATGCTGGTTTTTCTCAAAAGGGTTTCCGCTGGATTTGCGTGTGTTTATTTATTCATTTATTTTATGGATTGAATGCTGCATTTAGGAATTAGGTTTACTTTGTTTTAATTTACTCCAGTTAGTGGGGATCTGCTGTGTTTCTATTTTGTACAGTAAATAAGATGATGGCTCAACGTGTTTTAGTTCTTTTTTATTACCATAAAAATCAATGCCGATAAACAGACATCCCTGTTGCTAGATCCAAATGCTACATGCTAAATTGCGGTTTCGATCGCGGTTGCTGTTACGGTGTCGTGGTAGCGGACTACGTGAATTGTTTCCTAAAAATGTTAAAAATCAATGCCAATAAACAGACATCCCTTGCATTATTCTATATGTGGGGAAGTGTTTACTGTTTGCTGTTGTTAATCTGGATAATATTCCATTACTTTTTCTCCTCCTTATGTCCATGTAATTTTATGGATTCTGTTGGTGATTTAATTCTTATTTGTTGAAACGCTGTTTGGGATTTTGCATAATGTGGTCTAATGTAGCTCGGATTTCACTATTTTGGAAAGCATCAGGTGATTCATTGTCTTGTCCATCTGCATTTGCTCTTTGTTTGGTCCGAATTCTATATTTTCTATGTCTATTGTTTGATTCGTGGCAGGGAGCCTTGGAATTGGCATGGGGATAATTATGGTACTCAAAAGAACTACATTTTTGGTTAGTTATTGGCTCAGACGATGACTTATTTTAAGTCGATATGTTTGAAGTTGCCTAGTGAGTAAAATGATTTAAGAAATCTGATTAGAGATGTCTGAACAACATCTGAGCAGATGCCACCCGAGTTGCATGCGCTCAAGTGACCTTGAATGAAGAAGACCTTTCCTATATGTTTGATGAAGCAACCCCGGTTAAGGAATGTGGGAATCTGTCACATTTTGTTAATGGTAAACCTTGATGCTTGAAAATGTATTATTTGAAACTTTCTTGTTTTCTTAATAGTTGCTCTTTTCTTTCCTTTAAAAGTAATTAGACCATCGATTTTAGATAATATGAGCAAGGAGAAGAGAGAGGACCCTTCACAAACTAAAAGGCGTAGAATGCTTCAATATGAAACTCATGCAATAGATTCTAACCTTGTCTGTGAAGAGGTGCCATCTGCATTGCTAAAATCAAGGGTGAACGCTAGATAACATTTTTGTTGCCGAGAAGCAAAAGCATGCATTACATCATATGTTTCAACCTGCTATCTTTCATTTATGTTCTAAAAAATTGACTTGGACTGTATGCTAGATGCGGAATGTGATGTTAGAAAACATCAGTATCATCAGTTGTTTTATATTGCATGCAAGGAAAAATCTTTCATGTATATTATTGTTCATCCATCTACAACCTGTTTGCACCATACAACGTCGTATAGCTATTAATCTATGGGGTGGAGTGTTATGAAACTTGAGAAATAGAGAAGTTGAGATCGAAGAAAATGAGAGGATTTAGAAGAGAAGAATAGAGAATACATAAAAGGATTTCTTCATTCATTCATCAAATAAGATTTCTCTCCTTCAGTACATAGTTTTATATAATTACAATGTACTATGGCTAATAGATTCTCGACAGCTGTACATTCTATAATTAATTGTAACAACTTCATTCTCATGTTACAACTAAGGAAGACATCTCTGGTGGGCTCCCAACATGATTCACTGTTGGGCTTGCTCTCTTTTTCTTCATAGAGTCCATTTGTGCCTTACGTCATTCTAATCCCATGTTAATCCTTTTTTCCCCAATTTCTAAAATCGAATTCTCTAATTCATCATTTCTCTTTTTCAAAATCCCTAACCATTTCTTTGATTTCCTTAATTCCTTCGCTTCACTTATGAACCCTTTGTTTTGTTATTCTCCTTCATTCGTGACAATATCCCCTCCACGAGTAGATTCTTGTCCCAAGGATCGAAACTTGGAAACTGAGGCCTGAGATTGGTATGAGCTTCCCAAATATCTTGATTTGAGTTCAAGTTCATCCATCGTACAAGTAAATTCTTCTAGTAAGGTTACAATCTTAGGTATATTTCTTCTCCAATTTGAAATTGTCGTTCACTTCGGTTTTTATCAGCATGTTGTTTTATTCTGTTCTGCAACATATCTGAGACCTTATGCATTGTGAATTTTGAACACCATAGCAGAGTAGGTGGTTTATCGGAATTCACATTCACTTCATAAGACACATCATCATTGTTTTGTGAAACTTTGCTCTTTCCTATATCTTTTGGCCTCTCATTTCTCCGTTTCAAGGTAACAAGTTGCCCAACTTGAAGACCATCAGATTAAAGAGGTAGAAACCCAATAGCTAGGCATGGGTCGTGGATTGGCAGCTGCAAGATTAGAGCACTCCAAAAGATTAAATTATGACTGGTATTGAAATTAGAACAATAATATTTCAAAGCTTTGCAGTTCACCAAGTTTCCATTGTGACCAACCTCAATAGACCCAAACTTATACCCTACATCTTTTTTATATTTGCCCCAAACACATTGTTGGGTTTCAACTTTTGGAATCGCTTCAACAACATTTAGTACATTACCTTCTATTGCCTTTCTGATAAGAGCAAGCATCTCTACCATTTGAAGCTTAAGGAAAACAATTTCAATTGGTTTAGACAATCTAAGTTCTCCCGCAACTGAATCTGATCTAACCGATGTGTACCCAAATAACAAACGAATGTTATAATCTGCATCATTAACCTCTTAAGTTTTAGCATTAACCACATTGATGAGAATGATTGTTCTGTCAATAATTTCTCTATACCAACTAAGGAGAGTTGATCTTTCATAGCCATTAGAATATTCTTCCTCCCTAGAGTTTATACTTTAATCCAGAATAGTCCAACGTAATACACCCACATATTCCATTAGATGAATAAACATAATTTTCTTATCTTCCACCAACCCACTTAACATGGTATTTGCACTATACCATGTATACTTTCCAACACTACAAATTCATGCATGATACTTTTTCTTTAGAAACTGGATAACTTCTAATGCCTTGACCCTATCCAAAATATTAAAGTTTTCTCCATTGAACTGATAAATCTTTTTCTCTACGTCCAGGATAGATACATCATCGTGATTTAGTGAAAATCGAGCAAAAATAACCTGCTTCAAATTGACAATTTTCTTTCTGTTGTATACATCCAATCGTGTGTCAAACACCTCTTCCTCTGATGTTTTGAATCCAAAAGCGACACTACTCTCAAATGGTACAATACAAGGCTTAGAGTTTAACAAAAATTTGCTAATTTTATGGCTTTGAAGAACACTCTGTTGCGCAGCACTCCCTCCTAACATTGTATCTAGCTTAACTGATATGATAGCAAATGTTTCCACTTCATTTTGAGTGGCGTCATTCCTAATCCAAAAGTGTATGTTATACACACAAGAATCAATCTTGTTATGTGCAATATTTAGGGCAGCAAATTTTTGAAGCCTAGGTTTTTGATCAACTCCTTGAATTGCAAGAAGATCTCTTATGACTAAAGTCTTAGATGTAGTATTGTATCTTATAGTCTCTCGCTTACTCATGATGTGAAAAAATTCACGTGTATGTAGTAACCCATTCTTTTGCATCCAACAAAACAAATGTTAGCCTACAATAAGAACTAATAACCTTTTCAGTCACACTCAAATTCATAGCAATTTGAATCCTACTACATCCCATCAATAAAAGCTGAAACACAAAAGGCTAAAAAAATTAACATGTTTATTGACATCCCTAAACATCTTAGAACAAATTTCTTTAAACGCGGATGTAACTAGATAGTTGAAATTATTTGAGTTACCCAAAGAAAATCAACCATTAAGGGTGTAAAAGTATTAATTTGAACTGATGTAGGCAAACCTAGCTTCTCAAACAACTCTTAATTGTTGCTTCACATGGCATTCACGTTACATGAACTTAATAGCAAGAACATCAGAAGGGCAGTTGCCATTGAAATGGCGTATGCTCCAAAATTGTCTGCCGGAAACTCTGCCAAGACATTGATTGTATCCAAAACAATAGCATTTTTTTCTGTTATAGGAAGATCAGAACCAAACAATAGACGTTTTTCACTTGGTTCAGATATTAGCCATTCCAGCTTTTGTTCTTCAGACCACTCACGGTCAGAACCAATTTCCAAGTGTTGGGTACTAGTGATGGATAGCATTGCATCAATTACTTGTGTTGGCATTTTATCAAGCACTTGACACCCATCATGTGTGCCTTTGATTGCCACAGGTAACATCGACTCAGTTTCAATGCTGTTTTGGTCTTGCTCCACCGTCTTCCCTATCAAGATATTAGAGGACATAAATGAAAACAAGAATCAATGGAAGAACATCATGAAAGAATAAACCAACATTCAAGTATAAAAAATGGTGATCAAGCTTCGAAGTCTTATTTTCTCTTGTAAAACAAATACTTGTGAGTCATTATTGTTACATTTGCTCGAGTGTTTAAATATGTTGAGCGTAAGCGTGAAAACTCCTCAATCTTGTGAGCATTACTCTTTTTTTTGTTAAATTTGGATTTTTTAGAGAGGTTTGAGCTCAAGATTTTGATAGTCTTTGTAGAAATCTTATCTTAAGGGTTGTAAGGTTAAAAAGATTTAAATCCAAATTAGTAAATTTGAAAAAGAAATAATAATTTTAAGACGAAAGATGTAGATTTTATTGAAGAAGTTAAATCAGTATACAACATTATATTTTTCTTTTTAGCCACCAATTTTTTTAAAAAACCAATTTATTTTTATTTGATATTTGGATGAATGGATGGAACTAACAAACTATAGATCAGCTTCCCACATTTGGTGTTTACCTATTGTATACGTATTTGGAACATAGAGACGAGAACATGATATGAGTAGCATCAACCAATTCCCTTATCTGGGCTAATAGATTCAACCACTTTGCCATTGCAATCTCAATAACTCAATCAATCTTTTTTTTTTTTTTTGGCTTATTTATTATCTAAAACACAAACAAAACCCAATCAAAAGAAGAGAGTGGGAAGTGCTATTGTTTTACACACGCTATTTCATTCCTCAATGGAACATGGGATTTTTAAAAAGAAAAAGAAAAATCAAAATATATCAAGAATCTCCAAGATGTAGCCATGGCAAAGAGGGCAGTTCCCTCGCTGAACCATGAGCTCCCTTGAACAAAGGCGGCAGAACGTATGCGCACATGGAGTGAACGCCGATCCTTTATGCCTAACCATGCAAACGCAGCACGTATATTCCATCCCTCCCCTGGATGACACCGACACATTGTCTTCCTCTTCATCCTCGTTTTCCTCGTCATCTCCCATTGCGTACCCCGTCTCCCCCAACAAGTCCATCAACGACATCTTCACCGGCTCCTCTCCTCCCACCGCCGCCGCTGCCGCTGCTTCTGCTGCTTCCTGTGCCGCCACCGCTTCCCTAGCGGATAATGACCTCTTCTCCACCGTTGCCTCTAAAGGTGATTCTGATCCATCCTCCTCTTCTCCCGAAAATCCGTAGTCATCATCATCGCCTTCGTCCTCAATATCGTCGTCTTCGTCGTCGTCATTCTTGGTGGAAATTCGACCTGATGGATGTCGTACCATCGTTAGTGGCTTCAAGCTTTTCGAGCGTGGACCGTCTTTCGGGTTAGAAGCCGAGACATGTTCACCCCTATCCTCCGAGTGGTTTGTGTCAGTAGCCGTGGTAGAATAATGCGGACCACGTGGCGAGGACCGGGGTCTGCTAGTATGAACGTTAACATCGGAAGCAGGGACACGGACCGAGGAGGTCCAGGCAGAACCGGCTCGCTTGAGCCGTAGCTTGTCCCGGAACGTTTTCCAACTCTTCTTGTCCTTGATGGACCTGTCGTCTTTTATAATATCCAGAAGCGTCCGGGGCTGAACCGGATTATTCCGGCCATTGTCAGCTGCTGACATCTGCTCAAAAAGCGTTAGCCTCCTGTTACCACATTCTATTACGTTACAATTAAAAGAAGAAGAAAAATAATTAAGTTGTTGGATTTCATGGATTGAGGATGAAAGGTGAAATAAACTTAAGTTATAATCACAAAATTAATTTCCAACATTTTTATAAATTAATCTTTTAGCTCGTATTTCCCTTTTTTTTAGTATTTTTAATTTTTAAGTTATGTCGATGAAAACCGTTTAACTAATGATTAATATATATATATATTAGTGATATGACGCTTTTTACTTATGTTTAATTGATATAGCATGTGTCGTATCATGTAAAAATAATGTAACATATACAACGATATTCAAATGATGATGTAACACATTTAATGACATTCAAAGTGATGATGTGACATTTACGACATCAATAATTAAACACTTATAAAAATAATATATTATTAACATACATTACGTTAGTCAACTAACGATTTTTATCAAATATAAATTATTTAATAAAAAAATAAAACATTTAAGTTAAAATGTTAAAATGTTTTAGAAAAAAATAAAGATTATTTTGTACAGAGATCGAGAGTTATTTTGTCCGTATACCTAGATGTGAGTAAAAGTGTATCATTATTACTTAGTGATCGAAGGATACCTTAAAAAAGATCGGCGTGGCAGTTTGTGGGGACTTACATTCGCAGAACAAGTGTCATTTCACAGACAGCCTTCAATGATTCACCTGTAAAACACAACTACAGATGATTATTTTGTTCATAATACGAGACAGATAACCAAACCGTTCATATTTTCTCAGCTTTTCTTATTAAAAATGCAATGAAATACTAAAGAAGAAAAGATGGGACACGCACTGAAGAAGGATGTCCTTTGTCTCAAACCAATGGTTTAGTTTTCCGTTTTGTGTCTGCCTTTCTTTCTGGTGTTTTTGTTTTCAATGAAGGGAGAGATAAAAGAGAGGTTATGAAAATGGAGTCCGAGTCTTATGGGGAAATTAGGGGAGGGGCCTTTTCTAGTTTCCTTGGTTCCCGGAAAATAAAAGCAAATTGTTAGTTTAATCTGTTTTTTCTCCAACTAGTCGTGTTTAATTTTACAAAATGTTTATTGTATTTACTTTGGTAAATTACAGTGTTTTGAAAATCAGACTGGACCGGCCGGTTCAACCGAGAATCGTTGTCTAGTACGGTTCAATCTATACCGGTTGAACCGTTACTAGTGAACTGATCGGAACCGCTGAACCGGACCGGCTGAAAACCAGAAAAAACCGTTAATTTTGTTTTTTTTTAAAAATTAAACCAAACGACGTCGTTTGTTAAACGAGCCAAGTCGAACTCGAGTATTGCTGAGCTCGACTCGAACTTGAAAACTTTAAAAGTAAGCTCAACTCGACTCAAACTCACGAGCTAAAAATTATCAAGTTCAACTCGAACTCGAAATATAATATTGAAACTTGAACTCAAAAAAAATTTAGAAGCTCGATTGAAGCCTAAAATTCGAGCTTAAATGAAGTGAAAGAATAGTTCACTCAATGCTCACCAAAAAGCTCCATGATTTTAAATGTCAAATTACCTCCATTATTTATAAAAGTTAGTTGAGATGTTCTTCTATGTTTTTTAGCCATGTGAGATTGCTTTGTTCTCATATTTTTACTCTTTAGACTTTTGGGATGCTCTTCTATGTTTCTTAGCCATGTGAGATTGGTTTTAAAAAAAAAAAAAATAAACCAAACAATATCATTTTGTTATAATTTTTTAGCCCCAAATTTATTTTTTAATTATAGTTATATAATTATATTTATTATTTAATATATTTTACCTTAAATATTATGTTGTAGTTAATTTGAATCATTTTGTTTCACTTTATTTATGGTTTTTAACTTATATATGTTATAATTTACTTTGAATATGACTTGTGATATAAAAAATATTTTTTATTAAATATTTTTAGTATTTTTATTTAATTTTTTAAATAGTTATGACGTCGTTCGGTTCTTTCGACCGGTCAGACCGGTTCGACCGGTTGAACCAGTGAACCGGTAGTATAGCCGGTTTGCTAACCGGTCCGGTTCTGAAAACTAGGGTAAATTATACTACAAATCACTCTATTATTAGTAACTGTACAATTGAGTCATTATATTTTAAGTAGTCACAACCGAGTCACTCAATTAATTGATTGGACCATAAATGACGTTAACTTTTTTTGAGAAATTTACATTTTGGTCATTCAACTTTCAGTTGTGAGCCAACTATTTTAGATTTTCGAGCGTTCGTATTAGAAAAAAGTTTTTCTTATCCTTTTATACCTCATCAATGGTGCAACCAAAAGCTCAGAGCCTCTTCGTAACTTCAAAAGCACAGAGTCTTTTATTGCTTACGATTGGTACACGTGTATAAAGGGTTGCACTGGCTTACAACAACTCTCTTTCTTTCAATTTTTTTAATCTTTCTCGTTCTTCACCAGTTTCATTTTTTCACCTTTATTTTGCTTCTTATTGTTTGATTGGGTTATCAATCGTTTGAAATTTGCAGGCATTGATCTTTCCAGACCACTGTTTGGTACCCCAGAATATCAACAATGACTCATATCCTTCTAATCTGCTCTACTCCTGTACCATTGAAACAATCAGAAGATTAGTTTATAAAATAGACATTTGTTTTTGTTTGTTGTTGATTCATTAACTAAAGCTAATGTGGCAACCAGAGAGAGAAAGATCGGGAAAGGGCTCAATCCAGGACAGGCGGCAAAGGGAAGAGTGGTTCTAAGGACGATGGATTGACCCCTGAACAACGCCGTGAAAGGTTTCCTTTTCATTTCATTTTGTATCATTTAACCTAATTTGGCTTAACCTTTTATGAATGGTGAATTCACAGAGATGCAAAGGCCTTGCAAGAAAAGACAGCGAAGAAGGCAGCACAGGCGGCGAGTGGAGGTAGCAATGGCAGCAGTGCTAATAACAATAAATGATTTGAGGATGCACGTTAAAGATAGATCGGTATTATGTTTGTTACCAAAACCCTTGGCTTGTTTATTTACTTGGCATTCGTGTTGATTCTTTAAATGCTCTTATCTTGTTTGGAATGTGATATAACCCCTTTACAATTTCCATCATCTTGTTCCCATCTTAGCATTATACAAGATGATGGAAATTGTAAAGGGGTTATATCACAAACATCTCGTATAAATGCAGATGAAGCTGGTTATTCCGTTCATTTCGGTGTTGGAATGTCTGAAAGCGGAGGCTGCTATTTGCTGGATAGAAATTCACTGGAAAAAAGGGGACATTTTAGGTTTGTAGGGTTTTAAAAAACGGTCCGCGACTGCGATTTCGGTCGTGATATAGCGGTTTCGCCGCCGTCCGAGTTACCCGTGACGGCCGCAATAGCGCCCGCGACGGCCGTAATCACGGTAAATCCGAAATAACCGAAAACGACCGCGATTTGAAACCCTAGTTTGTTCCTACTTTGGTTTTATTTTGTGCATAGGTCTTATCTCCAATTTCTTGTAATTTATTCCCCTTTTTATTTCAATGGTCTTTCAGCTGATGTGGCAGGAGAGGGCCTATTTCTTTTCTTTTCTTTTTTTCTTTTTGGTTGCAACTTGCAAGTAGGGATGTGCATCTAACCCGAACCCGACCGGGTTGGATTTTTTTTTTTAAATTTCGGGATCGGGTCGGGTTCAGGGTGAAAAAAATCCGACCCGACCCAACTCGGAAAAAATATATAATTTTACCTTATATATTTAATATTTAGGAATAATTATAATAATACCCCTCTATATATTATTTTTTTCAATTTAATCACTGTTTTTATTGAATAATTTTTTTTTTTGGGTCGGGTCGAGTCGGATTTTTTAAATTATCTGTCGGGTCGGGTGAAAAACTAATTTTATCAGGTCGGGTCACGGGTGGAGATCCCCTTCTTCTCGGGTCGGATGGACCAAAAACCCGACCCATGCCCATCCCTACTTGCAAGTAGATAAAAGTGGATGTATTCTTATAGGGGCTTACAGATGAAAGCGGGTAGCAATGGTTGTTACGGGCAAAAGCCTCAAGAAATTTAATTGTGAATATTATCAGAGTGGCAAATCTCTGACCGACTGCAGCGAGGGCATGTAATTTTAGTAATTTAATACAAGTCCTCATATCAGAATTTTCACAAAACCAAACTGATCATTTTCCATTTCCGGGTGCAGGGTATTTGAATTTTTTTTGTGAGGCAATGCATTTTAATTTATTTGTTTTCATGCGACAATAATCAATTAGTATTATAGATTATCATGTCAATGTAGACGACAGTACTATGACATTCAATGATGATTTCTATTGATCAAAGGACAACACAACTCATAAAGTTGAAGGGCAAATTGACAACATTGTTCCAAACAATGAGGAAAGTAACAACTGGCTATGTATCTTAACTGTGTGATCTCAAACATTGTTCTTCTAGATGACTGCCTGAGAAAACAAAGGAATAAAGAAATGTGGGTGACTATGTACAGAAGCTTCAAAAACTATATGCACAACTGTCTCCCTAACTACTATTGTGGTTGTCAGAAAGATTTTATTTCCATGGACTATTATTCTCCGTTAACGTCAAACCTCTGGTGCGTCACCTTGACTGCCCAAATTCAAAACAATAACAGACATGAGATAGAATTCTTCAGAATGGGGATGAAAATCGAGACTAATGTGAAATAGTTTGACAACCTGCTGCTGCTCAAATCACGCCACAGATTAGCATATCTTGCTCATTATAGCATTGCTGATTTGACAATAGAAATTGCATAATTGGATACCCAAAAAGGCAAATTCATCTTCCTGGATTCAAAGGTTTGTAGTTTCTTCGCCAACATGAGTTTGTCCTCTGCAAATGCCATACCATCAGAATATGCACTTTATTCTATGATATCCAAGTGCACTCAATCTCATGCTAATATCTCTATCCTTTTTTTTTTTTTGTAAAAAATGAAAATATACAAAATAATTTGAACTAAAAATACATTGAGTA